TCATTTTTATTTTTTGTTTTTGTTGGTGACGACTTCATTCCAAGTAGACAAAATCAACAAGGAGTTGGACAATAATGAAATATTGACAACCTTCAAGTCGTTGGGAACATTGAGAACAAACAATAATTAAAACGGGTGGTTTATTTGGGGTTACAGTGACGTTGATGTGACAACGATATTTTGGTGCCAATTAAATAAAGAAAAAGTATAATCGGAGAAATCCAACATATCCATGAAGCCAAAATCATAAAATTTTGGATCGTCATATGAAGATTGTGGTAGTGGTGGCATCATCTCAAATATGCTTGAGAAAAACAAGGGAGAAAGGGAAACTCATGTTTGAAATCTCATCAAAAAATACCATAATTTTTTCCTCAATAGATGATGACTGAGTTTCTCTCATTCTCTTTCTTCTCATCCATTGTTTTTAATCAATTGTAGGTGTTATGTATAAAAAAATCATACTTATATTTCACTCTTTCTCTTGTTTTTCAAAACTAAAAAAATTGTAGGTGTTATTCTTATATGACTGAGTTATTTTATTGATATATTATTAAGAAGAGAGATAAAATGTTTATTGTTTTCACATTGATTATGGTCTCATTCAATTTATTGTCATACTTTAAAATCTAATCTTAATGCAAGTCATTTGATTAACCTTACAAGAAATTATGAGATTAATTAAGAGATTTAGACCTTCAAACCTAATGATTTAAGGATTAAAGAAATATATTGGTTCTCAGATTAACACAAATTAAAACCTAATAACCAATTATTTAGTACATGTGAGGACAATATAGTAAAATTAAATTTCGACATCTTTATTAATGTCATTTTTTTTCTTTTTTTTTTGTATTGAGTTATTTAAATTGCTTGAGCCCATGGTGTCGTCTTTCACTTCATTTTTATTTTTGTTGCTTTGTTGGTGACGACTTCATTCAAAGAGGACAAAATCAACAAGGAGTTGGGTGACAACCTTAAAGCTATTGGGGACATTGGGAATGGACAATGATTGAAGCAGATGGCTTATTTAGGTTGGCAATAGTGTTGGTGTGACAACGATGTTTTGGTTCCAATTAAATAAAGAAGAAGTATAATCGGGGAGACCCAACATGTCCATGAAGTTAAAATCATAAGCTTTTGGATCTTCATATGAAGATTGTGGTAGTGGTGACATCATCTCAAATATGCTCGAGAAAATAAGGGAGAAAAAGAAGCTTATGTTTGAAATCTTGTCAGAAAATGGCACAAAAATTTCCTTAATAGATGATGACTTTGAGTTTCCCTTTTTCTTTTTCTTCTCATCAGTTGTTTTTAATCAATTGCAGGTGGTATGTTTAAAAAAAATTCTTATATTTCGCTCTTTCCCATGTTTTTCAAAACTTAAAAAATAACCATATTAATTAATATTTATTTTTTAGTTATTTTATTATTATTTTTATTAAAAAGAGAGATAAAAAATTTATTATTTTTAGACTAATTATAGTCTCGCTCAATCTGTTGCCACACTTTAACCCCTAATCTTAATGCAAGTTATTTGATTAACCTTACAAGAAATTATGAGATTAATCAAAAGATTTAGACCTTCAAACCTAATGATTTAAGGTTTAAAGAAATATATTGGTTGTTAGATTAACACAAACTAAAACCTAATAACCAATTGTCTAATACATGTGAGAACAATATAGTAAAATCAAATTTCATCATTTTTATCAATGTCAATTGTTTTTTTTTTCTTTTTTGTATTGAGTTCTTTAAATTGCCTAAGTCCATGGTTTCATCTTTTGCTTTATTTTTATTTTTTTATTGCTTTGTTGGTGGCGACAGTGGAGTATTGACAACCTTCAAGCTGTTGGGAACATTGAGAATGATCAACAATTGAAGCGGGTGGTTTATTTGTGATGACAATGGTGTGGATGTGGCAACAATGTTTTGGTGTAAATTAAATAAAGAAATATAATAGGAAAGATCCAACATTGCCCATGAAGCCAAAAAAGTTAGAAGCTTTCAAATAATCATATGAAGATTGTGGTAGTGGTGACATCATCTTAAATATGCTCGAGAAAACAATGAGAAAGGAAAGTTTGTGTTAGGAATCTCATCGAAAAATGTCATAAAATTTTTCGCAGTAGATGAGGACTTTAAGTCTCTCTCTTTCTTTTTTCTTCTCATTCATTGTTTTTAATCAATTGTAGGTGCTACATTTCAACAAAAACCCTTGCTTATATTTCATTCTTTCTCTTATTTATAAAAACTAAAAAAATAACCCTATTAATTAGTATTTACTTTTTAGTATTATTTTATTATGGCATTATTAAGAAGAGAGATAAAATATGTATTGTTTTTACATTTATTACAATCTCGTTCACATTAATTATTTGAAGGAATGTTAATGTAAACATTAAAATATAAAGAGCTTGCATGCAATTTCACCAAAATCTAAAAAATCTCAATATAATTCATTCCTATTAATGAATGAAAAAAAAAAAACTATGATACAACTTTTTTTTATGCCAACATGATTAACTATTATTGGTATTTAGGTTGAATTTTTTGTTTTGAATTAAGTTTTAGCCTAATCCATATAATATATTATCTCGACCCAAAGTATCAATTGAAAGTGTTAATCGAAGTGTAGGATCCTCAGATTACAATTGGGAATAATGAATTATACTTTAACCTGAAGTATGGTGTCATTCACCTTAAGTCTTTTTTTTTACACCAAATTCACCTCAAGTCTTAATTCCCTATAGTTCTGTTTGCTGTTTTTTCCCATGTATCATGAAAAAAAAAATGAAAAAAAAAACTTTAACCTGAAGTAAATTACTCTTCGCTATACTAAAGCAGAGTAATATTGTCTCTAGAGCATTAGACCATATGTGAGAAAATCCAACTCATCTCAATCTTCAATTTGTCAGTGTAACAGACAATTATTTTTTATACATCAGGTGATTTCTGATATCAGTTAAAAGTCCCTACAATTAACATTATTCATTTCAGTGCAACAATCTTATGTTAGACGCTTTACTGCTTAATTTACTTGTATATATTTTTGTTTCACGCTATCAGAGCAACGTTTAAAGTATCTATGTCCACTTATTTGAGTGACAAAATATAATGGATATCAAAATGCTTTGGTTTTCAGCATCCCTTGTTCTTTTACTTTACTGTGCTACTCCTTATAGAATACTAACACTTGATTAAAGCTTGCAAGGGAATAGCCATAGAATTCATACAGAAAGGGGGAATTAATCATTGGTCCACTATTAGGTAAATTAATCGAATATATCTTGGGTGGAAGAAAACGTTTAGAGGTAACAAGCGCACGAGGAAAAGACAACACATAGGGAATAATATTTTTTTTACTTTGTTATTCACCCCTTTCATGAATATGTTTTCGCTATGAAAATAACATTTGTGTTGGAAGTTGGTGACACGAGTTTGATTAAGAAAACGCCAGATTGATTAGTGACCATTGCCATTTGCTTTGAAAATGATCATACTTTTGAGTTAGTGCTGGATGTGGACACATACAACAAAGACCTATTTCCGTTTCTTTATAGTTCTCTCTCAAAATTCCTTTCAGATTTCTCCCTTCGTGTGTGTTACTTTTCAGAATCATCAATTGAATTACCCTTCATGAAAAGCAGGATTCAATAGCCACATGGGAAGGTATTAAATTCCTCTCTGATCACTTGAATTTTTGGCAATGAATGCTACCCGTGCCCCTCCTAAAAAGAGAGTGACATGCAAAATTTTCACTCTTTTTTGCGTGGTCCTCTAGTAAATTAACCCAAGCCATTTTATGATTCTGATCAAAGTTGTGGGGTGGTGAGTACTACTGAAAGCGATGAAACTGAGGCACTCGTGTGCCCTTAAGTGGCTCTGAGCCACACAAAGAGCGTGACCTATTTAGTCCTTCAGTGAAAGTGACCTATTTAGTCCTTCAGAGAGCATTGCCCCACCTTGAAGGGCATGTGACCCATTAAACTTAGCATCTCAGATACGCACGCCTAGATTCAAATTCAGTTTTCTTTCTCAATTTTTCACCCTTCACAACAACTGCTTTTATTTTTGACAAGGATCTATTGGGCAGAAAAAGAAAAATGATAAAAAGGAGAAGTAGATGATGTAAAACGTAAGTGGGGTCGTGTAAGAAGATGTGGGCGACAAGTCACATGGCATGTTAGGCCATTCTGCTGTGTCCAATAAGCATGTTTTTGGCGTTTTCGGGAAAACTTTTGAGAAGTGGAGTTGGCCATTGAGTCCATTCAATTTCCTTGCCTCACTCACTTTAATTTCCCACCTTATTTCCCTGTGCTCCGCTGAGATAATGACCAATAAATTCTCAGGCATCCACAACCTGACACTTTCAAAACTAAAAGAAAAATATAACTAGAATACATTCCATCCTTTGTCATTCAATAGTAATAATAACAGCAAGATGTGAATGTTTGTCATGTATCAACCTTCGGACCCAGTATCAGTATAGCTAGAAGGTATATCCAAATTACCAACTACTAACTCGAATTCACAACTTACAATTAAGAAAAGGTTGGCATGACCTGGATCAGATTTTTATTTCAGGTCGTGGTATATATTATTATTTAATATTCAAATTGAAACAGAACAAGGTAAGTGCACAAGCACAACATGTACATAATTTTAATCATAAACCTACCCACGTACCTTTGCAAATATACGATTATGACCCGTTTTCATTAACCTACTTAGTTACCGGTTCAATTCCTTTCCTTAACAACATTATTATTTATCCCCCAAGAAAAAAGGTGGTCTGTTATGCAAGCTTCTTCTCACCTACAAGCCACCTGCTTAATCATGAATATTGTTATTAATCTACCAACGATTTGGGCAAGGAATGAATGCTGTAACTTTCTTTTTTCTCAAGGGTCGTAAGTTGAGAAAAAAAGGTACTTGAAGCCGATTCCCCTACCTTTTGATGCAGAACCAGGACCTGTACGTAATTAGCCCTTCTCAACAATTCAAACTTGTTTTTTCATTATATATCCTTCCCCAATAATAAATAAATATAAAACATGAGCACCTAAGATTGAGATAATGGGGGAAATAGAAAGCGTATTGGGTGGGGAAGGAAAATAGGGAAATAGTATTAGAAATAAAAAAATGGAGAGAGACATGGCATGGCATGTGTAGATACATAAAATAAAGGCGTGTCCTTTATTGTGGTGAGGAAGAAGAAGAAGAAGAAGAAGCGGCGAGAAGGTTAACGAGATTGGTCATGGCTCGAATCTGCATCTGAAGCGCGGGTATGTAATCAATGGTTTCTTGGAGAATGACCGGTAAAGGCTGTTTGCGGCAACCGGGGATTAACCGTCCGAGGAACCTGACTTTCCTCTGCACGCTCTTCCCCCTCAGCCGGCAAACGGGGCGGCGC